TGGTACCATCGAAGTAGAAATTTATTCTGACTGCTGAAGGTGAGGACGGAGTGCGCATGAGAACTATCCAGGTGCAGTAATTTCTCATCTTAAATCAATATATTTCTGTGTTTACCACTTTTAGCGCGGTGTAAAACGGGATCCATGGGCTGGGGTGTACTTAGTGGCGCAAAGCTATTGTAGTCGCCAGAAACTGTGTTCAGGATAGGATGTTTATTCTGTCCTTGGCAGAAAGTCTCCCTCACCTAAAAAGGGGTTTCAAACCCAGGTTACCCGCACAAGAGCTAACCTCTCCTCCTCAAACATTTTGATAGTGTGGCTATAAATATTATAAGCAGACTCACCACATAGACCATCGCTACACTTCAAACAATCTTCGCACTTCGTTGCTCCGGTCTTGTATGGCTGGGTGAACGGAAAGATGTTACCTCTGTGACACAATACAATAAAATACAGTCATTGTTTATCATCATCATTATCATCATCATCATCATCAATTTCCACTTATGCAGAAAAGCGTTGTGGGGAGGAACAGTTTGCGATCTAATGCTTGATGGGCAGCACTGGCTATTGTCATTCCGTGTCGATGTAGAAGCTCATCAATCCATATTCTCCTAGAGCGACCTCGCGCTTTCATTCCAGATCTTTTCATCTGTAGCGCCTGAGTTGGTAGTTGTTCTGGCTGCATTCTTACTAAATAAGCAAACCACATAATCTTCTGTTTCTCAATGATTTTGCTGCATGGTGTTGTTCCTACAGTCAGTCTGATAATATTTTTTCTTTAGGTTGGCAGCTTTTCTCAGGCAGTGTTAATTTTACGTAGGTTAGCCTTTGAAAATGTCTACTAAGTCTAGCACTGGTAGCACAGAGTTGGTATGAACTTGCTGTTTGTAATATGTTTCTTGGAGCTTATACTTATGTTTGTAGATTTGGCAAGACATCCACGTGGCTGCATTTGGATACGTGAATTAAGTGATCTTCTGTATTAGTGTAGTTTAGTTTGATTTATGTATGTGCTCTATAGCCGCAGCGTCAACATTTTGTATGTGTTTGTTATATTGTGAAGCTCGCTCATAAACTTTTTGTTCGGTTTTATCTCTTTCCATGATATTCATGTTTTAATGACTTAATAACAGTGTCAGTTGATATATAAGTGCACTATGCTCATTGTTAGGCATCGTTAAACACTTTTTTTTTCTTCTCCTCATTCTTCTTCTTCTTCTTCTTCTTCTTCTTCTTCTTCTTCTTCTTCTTCTTCTTCTTCCTTCTTCTTCTTCTTCTTCTTCTTCTTCTTCTTCTTCTTCTTCTTCTTCTTCTTCCTCTTCTTCTTCTTCTTCTTCTTCTTCTTCTTCTTCTTCTTCTTCTTCTTCTTCTTCTTCTTCTTCTTCTTCTTCTTCTTCTTCTTCTTCTTCTTCTTCTTCTTCTTCTTCTTCTTCTTCTTCTTCTCCTTCTTCTTCTTCTTCATCTTCTTCTTCTTCTTCTTCTTCTTCTTCTTCTTCTTCTTCTTCTTCTTCTTCTTCTTCTTCTTCTTCTTCTTCTTCTTCTTCTTCTTCTTCTTCTTCTTCTTCTTCTTCTTCTTCTCTTTTACTTGTTATTCTTCTTTCTCTACCTTACGTTCTCCTCCTTTGCTTTCGCCGCCTCCTGCCCTCCTCTCTCTCTCTCTCTCTCTCTCTCTCTCTCTCTCTCTCTCTCTATCTATCTATCTTTGTGTGTGTGTGTGTGTGTTATCATCATGCTCTTCTCCTCCTCCTCTTCCTCCTCTTCCTTCATTTACATCGACCAAGTATTTAGGAAGCTGTAAGGAACGTTTGCATGCTCTGTCTAATGCGCTGTAAAGCTGGTCTCCATTTCTTATAGTTTATTTGTGTTCTAGACGTTTTGATGTTTATCATTTTTTGACCTCTTGTCGTTACAAAGCAGCTCGCCGAAGACACTTTCTGTAAATTTTTATGATTCTCCGGCCCTTAGTTGTAGCTAAAGTCCAAGTTTCTTACTGGTTTCTTTTGGGTCATCATCGTAAAGATTCGACATCACAGTAGTCAGAAGAAGCCAATATTTGCTTCCCCCCCCCCCCCCCCCCCCCCCCCCGGAATGTCTCTCTACTGATGGGACCTGTTGTCATCTGGTTAACTACTTGTCCTGTCTTTCCCCTAAAGTAAAGGTAAAGTCAGGAGATGTGAACCAGCGTCACTGCACACGGTTATAAGCCATAAGTGCTTTGCCACCAGTACGGACAGCTGAAAAGAAACTGTCCGCATGTGTCGCCGTCTGCACGTAACTCCGTAGCTACAGCAACGTTCCTCCATTTACCTCAGTGTTAGCTCTAGTATCCATTACCTGGAGGCTGGGTGAACCCCGGAAACCACCCGGTTTCGAATACCGGCCGTGGGCTGCAGCGAGTCGCAGCTGGATTTTAAAGCGAGTCTCCTATCGACTGCACTAACGCAATCCCCTGCCTTTCCCCTAGTGACGTCCAGAGCCCACGGACACTCCCCGCTGCGTCAGTCTCTCCTGGTGCGGGTTTTCAGTATCTTCCATTTTATTCGTTTCTTGTCCCACAAGAGATCACAGCCGCTTTGTGCAGTTGTTGTACACTGTCTCCTGTTATCGTCACATTGGTACCAAGTTGTAGCACAAGGTCGAGGCTTTCTGCATTTCTCTTACGCTTCTCAAGTGGCTTGAGTGATGGTTGTGTTCATTTTTTGCTTTCCTTCTCGATTCATCTACCTGTCAATCCATCTCTTCTTTTACCTGGCTCTCTATGCTTTCCTCTTGTCTTTCGCCAAATTATTCTGCTATAGAAGTTCTCATATAGTCTGGTTAGGCTTAATTTTCATTACAAGGCCAAACAGCGTTATTTTGTGTCTTTCCAGGTAATTCGAGGACGGACTTTTCCCAACCTCTTCTATAATACTAGTATTTGTGACAATCTCCAGATTCGTTTTCTCGAGTCTGTACACATCTCGAAAATTGTTCGAGGTCCAACACAAAAGTGTGAAGCTCTCTTTCGTGGCAGGCGACATTGAGCGACTATTTTTTTTTTTTTCTGCGAGCTAATGTTCAACCAGTTTTGTTTTCTCTGTCACTAGGTCTCTCGTGCAACCGTTACTGGTTTAAGAATTTGTGACATTTTGGGGCTTGCCCTGTGTGAAGTCACTAAGTAAGACCGCAGTGATAGCGATGAAGAGCGAACGAACAAAGCAAGTAACACTGACAGTGCCGACCGCTCTCAAAGTGTAAAATAGAACGTGCTGACCGCTCACTACGTGAAACATTGAATGCTTATAGCGTTGAGAGTAACGCAATATGACACCCCTGGAAAATTGACACTTGTGAGAAATCTCGCGCCCAACGAGATTGAGTGATTTTCGTGAAATTTTTCGAGTACTATAGAAATTACTATTTTGACACGGATAAATCCAATTAGCGTGATGGCTTGTGGCTTGGGATCTCCCCAAACCAGGTTGTGTGATTTAAAGGACTGTTGTCTGAATGAATTAGACATATAATTATATTTAATTTTTCTCTATAATTTTTTTTAAATCGCCAATGATCACTGGCATCTTGAGAGCTAATGGCTGGGGCAAGCTTAGCGAATATCAGATGACAGAGAGGTAAAATCTGTATACACAAGGAAGCTGAATGGTTGTAGACCACGAGGTAGACCAATAAGACGATGGAGAGATAATATCCAGATCGAGTTATTGGTGTTACCAATTGGAAACAGAAGAACAGTCAGAGAGATGAATGGAAGCAGGTGATATTAGCAGCAATGAGCTCAATGGATAGAAATGCAGAAGAAGAAGAGAAGAAGAAGATGTCTGACTGAATGAGTGACTGTTCAACTGAATGAACAGCTGACTGAAGTGGTGGCTATCTAATTTCACTCACACACACACACAGACACGAGCGAGCGCATCTAAGCGAGTGTGTGACTATATATATATATATATATATATATATATATATATATATATATATATATATATATGTGTGTGTGTGTGTGTGTGTGTGTGTGACCATATGTCAGTCTGCCAATTTGTCTTTCTCTCTCTCTCTCTCTCTCTCTCTCTCTCTCTCTCTCTCTCTCTCTCTTTCTCCGTCGCTGTCCTGCGTTATTTCTGTGTTTGTCTGACTGTCTAATCCTTTGCCACTGTGCCTGTATAATGCCTGCATAAAATGAATGTATCGTATCTGGCAGTACTTACCCTGGGGCATAGTTGCAGACGTAATACTTCTTGCGGTCACACTGTGAAAATCCGCATCCGACCTTATTAGAACTCGCCCACACGAGCTGCAGTGTAGAATACATCGTTGAAATGTAGATCAGTATAAACTAGCAAATGTAATGTATAGTCAAAAATAGGGGCTTTTGAAATAAAATCGAACAAAGGGATTCTCATAAAACCGGCGACCAAGAAGAAAAGAAATACTGGTAGCGTAAAATATCTGAACATCACGGAAGATTGGCTCGTAAACAGCATCTAATCTTGCAAACTGAAATAGCGCCGCAGAGGATTTGAAAGAATTGTAGCAGAAGGGATCATCATTATCCACTCCCTCATCCAAAGATTGTGGCTGGGAAGGGAGAGCTTAAGGAGTTTGAGCTCCATAACTCCGGTTTCCTAGCGTTAAATGTTACGGAAACTGGTAAAAAAAGGAAGAGATTCTGATAAACTAATAAAGGCGAAGAAATCAGAAACATGGTTGGACAACCGTTGGCATCAACAACAATAAGACAAGGAGGATGGCAAAATTTAGGAAATTTCCGCTGAAGAAGCTGACAGAGCATCATTACACAAACGCCTTTCATCAGCTTGTTTAAATTAAAAAATTAAAAAATTGCGATAACATTTAACCAGGTCAAGAAATATGTTTGATGTCATTATGATCTTTATATTATAAGCCTTCGATGATGATGGTGCGTCTTACATTCCTGTTGTCTATTTTGTACAATATCATCTATCTGGTTGTTCTGCTAAATGACAGAGGTACTTGAGTACAGACTGAGTGCTTCTTGCCCATGTCCCTCGTAACTGTCTAAGAGGCTCCTAATGTCAGTCCCCTAGCGTGATTTGGTATCGTTATCAGTAATGACGATTCCTTTCTAGAACAAATTGTATAGGGCGCTCAGCCTGATCAGGTACACCTGCCCCTACACTCTCGCAGACTTGCTGTCCCGTGTGTCCATGTACAAGCTCTAAAAACGTATAGAAATAAATGTATTGTGCAATCTAGGATGACTATGATAAACCCTCAAAAATGTGTTGACGAGAAAGCCATAAAGGGAGCTGGATTGCATTCTGTCCTTGGCATTGAAAATATTGCACTTGATTGACCGGAAGGGAGGCATAGACTATGAGCCATATGTGGCGTCTATCTAGCCCAAAGGCATGACGATGAAGTAGGTTCGTAAATGCGCAAGTCTATTCGTTCAAGAATGATCTCAGTGAATACCACACTACCAACAATTCAAAAGTGTTTATCTCGGAACAACATTCTAAAAGTTGTCTTTTCTAGGCAGGTTTTCTGATTTTTAAATTCAGTCTGACCAGAGACCTTGTCTTGCCGTTGTGTTATATCCTAGTATTTGTGAAGAATTGACACTTCACAGTCTAAACTCATCACTTGGAACCCCAGTGAAAGCTGCAGGTTTCATTTGGAATGCTCTTCGATTGCGCCCACGGTGGTTTGTGTTGTTGTTTCAGAAACTGGCAAATGATCTGTAAGCACATAAATGATGGTGACTTATGCGATATCGCCAGTGCAGTTGACGATTTGTCGTACCCGCTGTTTGTATCAAACATGAACTGCAATTTCAGTGGCGGGCTGTTTGTGTTGGCACGCTAACAGCCGTCTTCCACATTTAATGCTTAAATTTGCTACTGGCTTTGCTGAAACTGCCGTCTGTTAACATATTGTCATAGGTGACAGTGGTAGGTATTTTTGTGTGGAGTTTAAAATGGAATCTCTTACCTGGGTATAATGTCCAACACGTTCATTGATTGCACTAGTATCTGTACCAAAACGTGGATCATAGGTATTATGCTCAGCGTACCATGCATTGATGGCAGCTTCAAACGATGAATACCCGAAAGCCAAATTCTGCCCAACGTAGAATCGACCTAACGTTAAAAAAAAAACTGTTAAATTCTGTATTTAAATATTATGTTAACATTAATTGTATAAATTAGCAATGTAATTCTTTTTTCTTCTTCTTCTTCTTCTTCTTCTTCTTCTTCTTCTTCTCTTCTTCTTCTTCTTCTTCTTCTTCTTCCTTCTTCCTTCTTCCTTCTTCCTTCTTCCTTCTTCCTTCCTCCTTCCTCCTTCCTCCTTCTTCCTTCTTCCTCCTTCCTCCTTCCTCCTTCCTTTTTCCTTCTTCCTTCTTCCTTCTTCCATCTTCCTTCCTCCTTCTTCCTTCTTCCTTCTTCCTTCTTCTTCCTTCTTCTTCCTTCTTCTTCCTTCTTCTTCCTTCTTCTTCCTTCTTCTTCCTTCTTCTTCCTTCTTCTTCTTTCTTCTTCTTCTTCTTCTTCCTTCCTTCTTCTTCCTTCTTCTTCCTTCTTCTTCCTTCTTCTTCCTTCTTCTTCCTTCTTCTTCCTTCTTCTTCCTTCTTCTTCCTTCTTCTTCATTCTTCTTCCTTCTTCTTCCTTCTTCTTCTTCTTCTTAGAAACGATGAAACGGGGCAAGGTCACCACTGGATCGTCGAATCTGCAGAGATGCAATTAAAACAAAATGAGTCACGGTTCACTTATCACTCTTATGTCACCTCTATAACATGTGTAGCAATTAAAACTAATTGAGTCACGGTTCACTTATCACTCTTATGTCACCTCTATAACATCTGTAGCAATTTAAATGAATTGAGTAAAGGTTCACTCATCACTCTTATGTCACCTCTATAACATCTGTAGCAATAAAAACGAATTGAGTCACGGTTCACTCATCACTCTTATGTCAACTCTATAACATCGGCAGCAATTAAAATGAACTGAGTCACGGATCACTCATCACTCTTATGTCACCTCTCTAACATCTGTAGCAATTAAAATGAACTGAGTCACGGTTCACTCATCACTCTTATGTCACCTCTATAACATCTGTAGCAATAAAAACGAATTGAGTCACGGTTCACTCATCACTCGTATGTCACCTCTATAACATCTGCAGCAAAAAGTAAAGGACTCATTTAACGACAGTGGAGAATCAAATTTATGATAATAGACGCACACGTTTACAGATTAATCTGCACTTGGTTGATGATGTGGTCAGTGTCACACTGTATCCTTTACTTCCCCTAACATTAATTGTTACATACTTTTGGCTACGTCGAAACTGGCAATGTCAAATTTTGAAAAGAAATCTGCCTCGATGAGGATCGAGCCCAGACCACTGTGGCTTCCATTCATGGGTAGGCTTCATTAGCTCCCCACCTTTCCCTTTCCTCTTTCCTCTCTCGCACTTGTTAACTTCATCAAACTGCTATTAGCCCATCGTTTGTTCTAAAAACATTGTTATCTAATGTCTACCGACTTGCTTCGGACTTCTCTGTCTAATTTAGTCTATATTAGGGCTGTACCTAGTGGTGATTTTCACTATTCGGTCGAATACGAATAACTGGACCAACTATTCGGCCGAATACGAATTCAATTACGAATAGTGAATCATCATCATCAGGTACTTTGCCGACTGATATGGGCGATTATGCCTCGCCACAATCTGCGATCTCCTGCAGCATGTATTAGTTCGTGTGCTGACACACCTCCATGCCATGCAACAAGACTGTCAAGAATCTTCTCTTCCTCTATCCCTCCTTCCACATATCTTTCCAGTGGTCACCATGTGTTCCATTTTCCCTCATCTTATAACATGGCTGAAAAATAATGACTGTCTCCTTCTGATGTCTGTGAGGAGTTGTCTTCGGGCTCCCGCCTCTATCAAGACTTCTTGGTTGCTTCACGTTCATTGCTGGTTTACCAACCTTATTATGGTAAGCACCGCTCGCCCCAGTTCGATATTCGTTCACTAGTATTCCTGTAGTGATCACTGCTTGACCCAGTTCATTGCTGGTTTACCAGCCATTTTGTAGTAAGCACCGCTCGCCCCAGTTCGATGTTCGTGTACTAGTCTTCTTGTAGTGAGCACCGCTCGCCCCAGTTCGATGTTCGTTCACCAGTCTTCTTGTAGTAAGCACCGCTCGCCCCAGTTCGATGTTGGTTCACCAGTCTTCTTGTAGTGAGCACCGCTCGCCCCAGTTCGAAGTTCGTTCACTACTCTTATTGTAGTAAGCACCGCTCGCCGCAGTTCGATGTTCGTTCACTACTCTTATTGTAGTGAGCACCGCTCGCCCCAGTTTGATGTTCGTTCACCAGTTTTATCGTAGTGAGCACAGCTCGCCCCAGTTCGATGTTCGTTCACCAGTTTTCTTGAAGTGAGCCCCGCTCGCCCCAGTTCGATGTTCGTTCACTAGTCTTCTTGATGTGAGCACCGCTCGCCCCAGTTCGATGTTCGTTCACTAGTCATCTTGATGTGAGCACCGCTCGCCCCAGTTCGATGTTCGTTCACTATGCAGAATATTTTAAGCATTGTTCTGTGATACCACATCTCTGAGGTTTCAAGAAATTGTTTGGTCTGCCTACCGATTGTCCAGGACTTACAGCCATTTGTTAAAACTGGATGTATGTAGCAAGCAAGAGTTAATTTTCTAACCTCCAATGACAAAGAAATATTGCATAGGATGTTCTTCATTTTATAAAATCAGTTTTTGCCTGTCCTATTCTGTTTCTTATTTCAGTAATGCATCTTCTATCTGAAGTTATCCATGTGCCCAGATACTTAAATTTCCTTCCTTGTCCCAAAATAAAACTATTGACTTTTATTACACATTTAGGAGTAATTTGTTTTCTTTGATACCACCATTATTTCTGTCTTTCCACTATTTAAAATGAGGCCCATTATTCCACTTTCGTGTATAAAATAGATTTAAAAAGAAAACATCCATAATGTCAAATGTACGCCGACTTTTTACTTCACAAAATGTAGTACAGAATAGTAAACATTTAAATACATTTTATGTTTTGCATTCTACAGTCAGTCAGTCTGTGGTAACTAATACATATGAGTGAAAGTATTCTTTGTTTTATAACAAGTAACTAAACTTGTACATTGTCACTGACAGCTTAATTAATCCATGAAAGCGGCATTAGCTTTCCACACCCAAAAAATCGTTCTTGTTGTCAGCATTAAGGCAGCTTCTTATCTCACTGAAGGCATTTCCAGCTTTACTAAACAGACGTTCACTTGGTACGCTCCCAGGTGGTGCACAGAGATAACGCTGGACAGTATAAACCAAGGTGGGAAATCTTGACATGTTTATTTTCTACCAGTCCATGAACGGGTGTAAGGTAACTCCTATTCGACGGCTACTATTCGGCCGAATACCGAATAGTTATTAGGTCCACTATTCGGCCCCGAAGCGAATACGAAGCGAATATTCAGTACAGCCCTTGTCTATATAGCAGTGTTATGTGTTTAGATATGGCCAAAATGTTTCACTTGTCCGTGTCTTTAGCTGAAGGCTTAGAAATGCCGTTCATAATTTCGGGTTTTCAGGTCGCACTCTGCTACACACGATTTTGCATTAGATCTCGTTTCGTTGATTTCGACACATCAAGCCCTTATATAACTTAAAGGTTGAACGGAGTTTCTGCTACCTGTGCTGAGTGATTCTCATCTCATGGTGGCACTGTGTGTCGCCGGGTGTTTATGTCTTGTTGTGTGGTCCTGGCTGAATCTCACTCACAGGCGCATAATCATCCACACACGGACGGCTATACGAGAGGCAAGAATGCGAGTCTTTTATTCAGGATATCCTTGCTAGGAGAACCACCGTAGTGTAGCGGCTAGGCGCTCGAATGCGGATCGGATGGTCTGGGTTCGGGATCCCATTTTCAGAAATTGACTTAAGCTCTCAGCGCGGCAAAGCCAGCCTTGAGTGCGTACCGGGTACAGTCCTAGGAAGTAAAGGTAGTCGGATTGGTGGTGCCCACATCACTCACCAAGTGCAGTTTGGCCATAAAATATAGGTCTAACCCTATATGCTCCAAAGAGGAGTGGAAAAGGGTCTCTTGCTTTTACTTACCCTGGTTCGAGTCCTCAGGCATTGGAAGTTGCCTTATTTATTAATTACTAATACTCTGTTCGTGCGCACACACACAAAAGTATCCTAAACTGCACAGATCGTGACGACTGCACTAGTCAAGTGGTTTTTAATTCATTAGGCTCAAGATCCATCCTAAAATGGTAAACACGGACAGTACAGTATGCTCCGCCTTGCCTTGATTTCACACTGGTATCAAGAGATGCACGCTCAAAGGCAATGTATTGAACGTAAACATGCCTTGTAAAATAACAAATAGCCGCACGCTCACAATCTCGGATTGGTTCTACAACGTCCCGTAAAGTACACACGAAATACAAGACTGTCTATATCTCTTACCTAGTGTCATGCTGAAATATGCACCTATGAAAAGACTCCAAAGTAATCAACTACGGCAGCGGTTCTTAAACTAAAAATTTTGAAATTGTTAAAGAAGGCATGACAATACTCAAAAGTTAAAATTTAAGTTGTCTTCCTATCCGACTGTCGAAAAGACCACCCACCCCCCAACCTCCACCCACACCCCATCCCTTCCTCGTTTTTTTTTTTTTTTTTCGTTTCACACCCAGACATGTTTCATACTGCATAAAATGCCGACCTCAGCGTGCTAAAAATTTGCTTTGTATCTATCTCCAGATGGGACAAATGCTCTACCTGCATTCGTTAAGGTGCAGTTTAAAAGTCCAACCAATTTTATTTATCAGAGTAAAGACAAATGAGCATTACATCAGCTTAGCACTGTTTTTTCTTCTTTTCCTAAGTAGACAAACCTCTTTAAGCCTAGCGGGGCCCGTGAATTTTTTATTACCCTCACAACAGTTCCGCGGAAAAAAATTTTTTTTTTGAGAAACGCTGATCTGCTGTACCTGGTATAAACCTGACTGGGTCGTGCGTCATTATGTTTTGTGCATTATACACACAGGTGTCTGTAAACCGTTGGGCCAACATAGCTAACTCATCGTCCCATGTCTGGTAAAGAAGAAAATAACATAGAATTAACAAATAATGCATTAGTTTAGGAATTAGCACTCCATATATTTTAATTATCCACTGAAAAGAGACCTTGACTCAATAAAAATAAGACAATGTGACCTCCAACATTTGGGTTAGTGAATGCGTGTTACGATTTCGCCATCATCGAAATACCAGGATTAATTTTTAATAAAGAACGTACAATTAATATTTTTTAAGAACATTTTTCTGGCATAAAAGTCACAATGTCTAAGATATTGCGACCTTAACTCGTAGTCATCTCAAACATATAAGCTGATGTACTGCACTCAATCTTAATTGTGAAGACGGCACACTGTTATGGTTAATAAAGTGTCAAGTGCTCTTTAACAATATGGGAAACGAATGATATACTCAATAAGCACTAGAGTGTGGGATAGAGGTCTTTTTTTAAGCTCTATTTAGAAGACACCACTGGGGCTTGTTGTTGGTGAAAACTAATTGCAAGAAGAAGCATATTAAAAAAAAAAATCTTTTTTTTTTTCTGAATCTGGTAATCTGGTAATTTTAGTTTCAGCTTCATAGCAAACGGGCCACCCCATAGTTGCTCTACTCCTGTGCCAACAAAAAACACACAGAATGTTTATCACAGTACGCTGGGGAAAGATTGATAGACTGCTGTCTCAGCATATCTAGTATACACGCGCATTAAAAGCATTCGGTAGCCATCCGAAGTGCTAAAACAAAAAGTCCAACATTAGAAATGCAGTTCATCATGAATGGTAGCAATTGTCACCAATAGATCAGCAGTTGCACACGTGATCAATTTTAATCACACAAGGGCACCACCAACATTGCGACAACAGACATAGCGCTATTTTCTGAATCTTCAGTTCACACCATCACGTTGGTCACAGTCGAAAAACATTCCAAATAATTTCAGCAGCTCACAGTGTCACGCCATGCACTCAACTTAGAAGCTGGGCGACGAAACTATATTCTTTCAGTCTACAAATAGAGCAAAAATGCAACGGCCACCGTCTGGCAGAAGCAAAAAATTTGCCACGGCTCAAAACAGTGGCCGTGTCTAGCGTCCATTTTTTCCGAGAAACGAGAAACCGACTACGTGATCCGGAAATATTACCTCGTCAAGCATAATTGCTAATGCAAACAGTGTGCTTTTCTCATCTTTAAAATTACTGATAACACAAATGTGCCCTTATCATCTTTATCATTAGCGATAACACAAACAGTTTGCCTTTATCATCGTTCACATTACTGATAAAACGAACAGTATGCCTTTGTCATATTTCTCATGACTGATAAAACAAACAGTATGCCTATATCGTCTTTCTCATTATTCATAAAACAATCAGTATGCCTTTGTCATTGTTTCCATTACCGATAACACAACAAAATATGGTTTTATCGTCTTTCCCATTACTGATAAACCAATCAGTAAGCCTTTGTCGTCTCTCCCATTATTAATTAAACAAACAGTAAGCCTTTAGCCTCCGTTCTATTAGTGATAAAATAAAAGTATGATTTTATCAGCGTTCACATTACTGATAACGCAAAACAAAATGCTTTTATCAACTTTTACGCTACTGATAACACAAAGCAGTATGCCCTTATCATCTTTCACATTAGTGATAACACACAAATTATGCACTTATCCTCTTCCACGCGACTAATAACACAAACATGACCTGACCGTCAGACAAACAAAAAATAAAACAATCAGAATGCCTTCATCAAACTTGACACATTGAAAAAAAAAATTAGAGCAAGTCTTTACTATTTTTCGAGAGCATGTCTGTGCCATATTTATAACAAACAACTAGCAGGTCTTTACCATATTTGAAGCAACAGAACTGATAGTAACGAGAAATACATGGAGCAGAGTCCATGCATGGACAAAGGATAGCATGACGGTATTAGCTGCTCAATTTCGGAATAAAGTGCAAAAAAGAGAAGAGAGAATTTAAGAGTTTAGCTAACATTTGACATTTAAACCTTACCATCTTTAGCATATTCACTGGCATTGGGACTGCCTTGCTGCGAATATCATTGTGTTGTTTGACTATTTCTTTCTTTTCATCGGCGGACAAACCTGTATTAGAGCAACAGATTCCAAATTGCAGATCTTTGCAGCGGTATGTGGTGTTTAAACAAACATTAGGAACCCTTTTTATATGAAGTCACTTTTACAAATAATATCAGCCACCGAACTGGTTTTGAGATTATTCTGATCCACCTGAGGTATAGGCGTGAGCTGAACTCTTTAATTCTCCCTTCTTTTTTTGGCGCTTTATCCTGAAATGGAACATGGGTTGTCAACCAGCACGCAACAGCTACTGCTATCATTTGCCAGTGTGTGCATTTCGCTCTATGCACTTCCTATGTATTTTCACCTTTTTCTTTTATTCCCTTCTCATGTGTTTAATTGTTTTTCTTTACATTCACCCACACTGGAATACATGTGAATTTGTTATGTTATTTTGTCCCCCATTATCATCATCATGTGCATTGTCAACTGGTGTAGGCGCTCATGCGTCTCCACAGATCACGATCCCTGGTTGCCTAGAACAGCTCTCTTAATGATATCCCTCCATGCCATCGTCTCAGCCCATCCAGCATCATCTCTCTTAGTCTGCCTCTACCCCTTTTCCCACTGATCTTTCCAGTTGTCACAATGTTCTCCAATGTCTCTCTTCTCATTATGTGGCCAAAAGAACAGTGTTTGTCTCTTTTTTATTGTTGTATGTCGAAAAAAATAGTAATATATTGGGCGGGTGCTGGGGGTCATCGCGTCGAAGTGGACAAATAGCTACCTTGTGTTCTAAAGGTCGTGAGTTCGGTTCACGGACGCGTCGCTCAGTTTACGAGCGCAGTTTTTATCGAGATTTCCAGGGGTAGTTGGGGTTTCTATGGAGTTCGTGCTCCTCTCAGTAGGCGACTTGCCGTTCTGCTGAGAGAGAATCTGCAATATGGGATAAAACCAGGTACAATAAAGTCGATCATCCCGACTTTAAGATTGATACAAATAGTAAGTTAACGCTAGTTGCGTATCGCATACAGGATATTGCAGAACCAACACCAGCAATTTTTGGCTGTTGTGGTTTTTCTAGACAAGTGTACATCCAGTAGTGTCCATTCCTCTTGAACAGTCAGCTTCTCGATACCACTGTAGAAACCAAGGCAAAGCGCAGGGCCCGCAGCGGGGATCGAACCCAGCACCCCGGCATTACGAAGATCACTCGCCACGCCTGTCGTGGAGTGAACAGCCAACCCTACACGATGGACGAGTCGTGACGCTGACCTCCCTAAGCGGGCAATCACATTTCAAACTCAAACCCGTCCGGAGGGTATATAGTCCCTTATATTGATATATACCTTTATCTGGTGAAATATTCATTTCTAGACCCTCTAATTGCTTTGAGAAATCTTCATTTTCAAACTTGCAACTGTGGGCTGCAGATTTCTGGTGTTTAATTCAGAAATTCCTGTAAGTCTGTTTACTCCTTGGGCATGAATACAGGGACTTCTTTCCTAGAGACGCCAAGCGTAGTTTTGAGCGGCTTTCTTTCGCCTGATCTCCAAAGTGTCAGGACGTGTATACAGTCTATGAATAAAAGTGGCGCATACAAAGAACCAGTTCTATCTTTGAAGAATTCCTAAGCTTGGGTAAGTTGATTATAGTTTACGAGTACCATAATATATGTCTTTTTAAAGTTGGCCACTGCTGCAGAGAGTGAAGATTCAGCTGTGTGATCGCACAGAGTTGGGCCCTTCTTGATGTCCAGAGATCAGGCTCCGAACATTAAACCTTTCCCTGTGCAGACTAAATAGTTTGTGCCCTACATAACCCACACCATTTGTAAAGATATTAAACCCTACAAGTAATTATTCTCTGACTAGACAAACGAAGTTTTATGCCTCCAAGCAGAAATATGGAATCTGGGTTATCTTTTAACAGTTAACTGCTGTGACGTTAGAGCTCGACGCTCTGAGTCAAAGGTGTGTTCCTTCTTCTTCTTCTGCCTTTCTATCCCCAAATGGAGCATAGGCCCTCAACCAACTCACGCCAAGTTCTTCTAACCTTCGCCATTACATGGAGCTATCCCCATGTCCTCCCAATCTTTCTAACCTCATTCTCCTGCTCTCTTCTCCATGTGTTTTGGCCTTCCTTTATTCCTATGCCCCTGTGGGTTCCAATGCAAAGACATTCTAGTTATGCTGTTCTCCTGTTTTCTCAGTGTGTGCCCTATCCAACGCCAGGGTCTTTTCCTCACCTCCTGATCCACTGGAGCCTGTTTAGTTCTCTCCCAAAGTTCTACATTAGTTATTCTATCGTACCATTTTATTCCCTCTATTCTGCGCAGGCACCAGTTAATGAATGTCTGTAATTTATTAGTAATTGCCTTCGTTGTTCTCCATGTTTTCGCCCCATACAATAGTACTGATTTGACATTAGAATTAAAAATTTTTAGTTTAGTATTTCTTTTAATTTCTTTTGACCTCCACATATTCCCTAGTGCTATGAAAACCCCTCTTGCCTTTTGTATTCTTATTTTAATATCTCTATCAGTTCCTCCATCTTTATCTACATTACTGCCTAAATAGGTGTACGACTCCACGTCTTGGAGTGGGGTGCCATTAAGAGAAACCACATTACTATTTGCCTGATTTATTCTCATTATCTTTGTCTTTCCTTTATGGATTTTCAGACCAAGCTGCTGTGATCTCGCATTAAGTATATTTAATTTATCTTGTATCTGATTCAGCGAAGTCCAGATCATCATGCTGTTTTGTAGGGGTCCACTGAATTCCATTCTTGGTGTTAGCAGTTACTGTTTTCATAGTCCAGTCTATAGCCAGTAAAAATAGGAGAGGCGACAAAAGACATCCCTGTCGCACACCTGTTTTTATTTCAAATTCATCTGTTAGCTTTCCCTCATGAAGAACTCGACATTTCATGTCTTTATATGTTGCCTTTACTAAGTTGATAATTTTCTGTGGGATTCCATAGTGCCCCATCAATTTCCAGAGAGATTCCCTATCAATGCTGTCAAATGCTTTTTTCATAGTCTATAAATCCAATGTAAAGTGGTGAGTTCAGTTCAATGCTTTGCTCTATTATAATACGTAATGTGGCTATCTGATCAGTACAGGATCTGTTTGACCGAAAACCTGCCTGCTCATCTCTTAGCATTTTATCAATAGCATCTTTTAATCTTTCCAAAATAATTCTACCTAATATTTTTCCAGGAACTGACAGCAACATAATTCCTCTATAGTTTTCACACTCCTGTAGATCACCTTTCTTGGGCAGTTTCACAAGATATCCTTCTCTCCAGTCTGCTGGTATTTCTTCGGTCTCCCAGACTTTACTGAATAATCTATGTAGCAATTCTGTTGATGTGTTTATGTTGGTCCTGATGGCTTCAGCTGGGATACCATCTGGGCCTGACGCCTTTCCTTCCTTAAGAAGATTTATAGCTTTTCTAATTTCCTCGTTGGATGGTATCTCACAGTTGATATCCAAATCCATTTCTAAAGGCTGGATATCTAGGGGAACCTCTGGGCCTGGTCTATTTAGAAGCATTTCAAAATATTCAACCCATCTGTCCATTTGATCTTTAGTGCTAGTAAGTACCTTTCCTTGACTATTTTTGATTGATCCAGTTGGCTGACTATATTTACCTAATAATTTACTTGTGTTACTGTAAAGTTCTCTGAGGTTTCCTTTTGCTGCTGCTGTCTCCGCTTCTTGTGCTAGATCATTTAGACATTTCACTTTATCTACCCTTATATGCCTCCTAACTTCCTTGTTGGCTTCTGTGTAATTCTCCTGAGCTCTAGCTTTAGCAGCTCTAGTTTTGCTATTGTTGAATTCTGCCTTTTTACTTTTTCTATCTTCAATCAGTTTAATTGTTTATGGTGTTATCCATGCTTTATGTTTCCTTTCTTTCTTGCCAAGAACTTATACGCAAGATTCATTCCAGATTCCTTTGATCTGCTCACAGCAGACTTCTGTGTTGACATCTTCAGCTAACTGCTGCAACACCTGGTACTTATTAGAGACCGTAACTGAGAACTGCTCCTTAATTTCTTTATCTCTGAGAAAGCCTACATTATATTGGTTTCTATGATTATAAGATGTTATATATCTTTTTAGTTTCAACTTGATTTTGCTTATCACCAGGAAATGGTCAGTAAATACATCGGCACCTCTGAAAGCCCTAGCATCGTAAAGGGATGATCTAAGCTTTTTGTTAATACATATGTGGTCAATTTGATTAGTTGTCTTATGGTCTGGTGATTCCCATGTTGCCTTGTGTATTCTTTTATGGAGGAAAATACTTCCACCAATAACATACTGGTTACCTGCACAAAAATTTGTGAACAATTCTCCATTTTCATTCATTACTCCTAGACCATGTCTCCCCATAATTTCTTCATAACCTGTGTTGTCTGATCCTATCTTAGCATTCAAGTCACCCATCAAAATTTTCAAGTTGCCCTTTCTTTCATTATTTATAATAATTTGAAGCTGCATGTAAAATTCTTCCTTAACAGATGCATCTTTATCATTTGTTGGTGCATAACACTGTATTACCGACATGTTCACCTTCTGCTTTACTGTTCTAAAAGATGCTCTTATTATTCTGGGACTCACAGCTTCCCATTCTATTAGTGCCCTGTCTGCTTCTTTTGATAGCATCAGGGCCATTCCTTCACTGTGCGGCGAATTTTCCTCTGTGTGTGCAGAGAACAAAATAGTTTCTCCTGAATTAAGAATACTTTTCCCTGTCCCAGTCCATCTAGTTTCACATAACCCTAAAATACTAATTCTATAATGTTTCATTTCCTTTGCTACTTCCATTGTTCTCCCTATATCATAGAGAGTTCTAACATTCCAGGTGCCAATTCTGGAGGTTTTCCTAGCTGAGAGGAGATAAGTCAACGATCCGGACTCCTTACGGCTTTCTCCACACCGTGTCATACTTCTTCTATTTGAAGAGCCACCCCTCATCTAGGTTGGCTAGATTTTATTTTCTTCTCTTTTTGACTTATCCATGGTTGGTTGGTTTTTGTGGCTTTTTATTCTCTGACTAGACAAACAAAGTTTTGTGCCTCCTAGCAGAAATATGGAATCTGGGTCATCTTTTAACAGTTAACTGCTGTGACGTCAGAGCTCGACGCTCTGAGTCAAAGGTGTGTTTGGCACGGAAATATCGGGTGTGTAGTAGCAGCCTGTGGAGACGTGATATATATATATATTTAGGTACTAACGGGATACATTGTATGTCTGCGAGTGCAGATGTGAGGGTGGAGAGAGGATGAGCTATGTGTGGTAGGGTCTATCTATCTCCACTATATACCTTGTCTTCTATCTGGTGTACTAATTTACAGACAGATAAATGAAAGGAGACATTGTCTCCTGTTCTTGAGAGTTACACTCTGAGGAATGGAGAAGGGTAGCAGAGTGTGGGGTGAGCTTGTGTGTGATTAAAGTTGAAAACTAATTCTGAGTTCTTTCCTGACAGGATGATACCTCCTTAGAGATCAGGCAGACGAATCACAGTCCAGCCAACAACCACCAACCCATACCATTCTTGGCACCATGTATACCCGAAAGTCCTGTATATTGTTGACACTACCTCAACATGGCAAGAGCTTGTTTATGAGTTCCAGGACTGGTGGACACTTGCAGACGCTTATGTCATCATTTCAGAGAATCAGTCTTCAAGAGATTTGTTGGGCTCTTATGCAGTTCCTGTGTCCTCACCTGTGAGACAGTCGGCGGGCACCACAGTCTTCAAGAGTTTTGTTGGGCTCCTGTGCAGTTCCGGTGTCCTCACTTGTGAGACAGTCAGCTTGTACCAGATCAAATCGAAGCATAGCTACATATTGAGTCAACCACAGTCAAACTCCATTCACTGAACATTCTTGATGATCTATTCATTAATATATGTACATATATTGTATTTATTACATGTAGAAATTTTCATATGTCCAGCCAAGTGTGCCTAGGAGTAGATTATATTTTGTAGTGCCAAAGCTTGAGTGCCAAAGCCCTACTCCTGAAATAATTCGAGCGTATATTGGCCACGGGATATCCCTTAGACCAATACGAGCCAACGACTCAACATTATTATTTCAGAGTGCTGTTGGTTCTTAAGGAGAAATCCTTAAATCAGGCACGTGACAGGAGCGGTATGTGACAACGCCTAAGCCACAGACGCCGACATAAAGTTAGTATGCAGAACAAAACTGTTTCGTACAGACCGAATAAAGACTTACCAGACCTAACTACAGTCTTGTTCTTCGCAAAGCAGGCAGTGTGTCCCGGGTACACTTGGTATATTGGAGCACAGTCGAGGGCTCTCGAGCAAGGGCAACCATCCTGTTAAAAAAGTAATGTTGTATTCATCCTCTAGGACTGTATTCTGGAGAGCTGATACCCAGTGACCCAAAAAGCCGCTTTTCTGATGCTAAATGAACAGGTACAAATTCCAGACTCGCTTAACAGATACAGAAAGTATCCATTAGGAATTCATAAAGAAGCGCTCAGCATATTTTTCCCATCACCAAATAGTGAAGATAGAAACATGAAATTGTGAAGGCTTTCAATCTGAACTTGTTTTTCTGTATATAGGAAATGGCAACACATTTCTACAAAAAGAACAACAGCATTGAAGTGGTCCCCATATTAAAGCCCAACCCTAGCTTTAACCGGGGGCCACAGTATAGCCTGACGGTTGGACGCGGTTTAAGGAACCTCTCCATCGCTGATTCTCATCCGCGTGGTGGCATTTTGTGTCACCTGGTGTTTATCGCTCTGTGTTATGTCCTGGTGGGGTAAAATTTACTTACAACAGCACTGATTCGCTAAAATTGAATTGCATGCGACGACAATGTGAGTTACAAACAGTTTATTACATAATTTATTATTGCATTTTAAAAAAAAAGAGGAAACTGGTGAACATCCAAAAACGTTTGTGTTTTATATGGAAGTTCTGCAGATGTTAGTATCCTTAATAGCTGGGTTCAGAGAAGCCTCAGTAAGTGGACTTTGGGATGTTATTCGTGCAGTGAGGAAATAGTTAACGTTATGAGTACAAAAGCTGATACAGTTTGTTTCGCTTTGGGTATGTTTATAGACGTGGTCCAAGAGTATATGTAATACTAGGATATGTGGGAAGTCGTTTTGGTGTAGCGGCTTGACGCATTTCCATAACTGTTCCGTCACCATCTTCAGCAGCAAGCGAAGTGTTTAAATTCCGATGGCACCAGTTTGCACTGTATATTCGCCTTGCCAGTCCCTTAAAGACTGAGCATCAGCCAGATCCCTTAGTAGCTCCTCGCAGTGTCCATTCTTCTCAGACTGTAGTGATCTATTTGTGTCTCCGAAGTGTTCACCCTTTTCAGAAGGGCCCTTACAACATTTAGCTTGACATACACCAATTCACCACCATATGCCCTAGAGAAAATATCTATACGACGCTAGCTACCCGGACCTCTAAAGCGATGCTTTCCACTCTGCACGGAGCATGCCGTGAGAAAAGATGAGTTTGGACACTGGCAAGCACACAGGGACCGTTACAATTAATTAATTAATTTAAGACATAACTGCACGAAGGGCATTCTCATATGTTCTCTGTCCCCCATTCTCATTAGCCAATAATTCCTATAGGACTACTTGCATCTTTATTAAAAAGTCCAGCTTCTTATCCTCTGCAAACTACAGGTCAAATCAATCTCTTTAGATGTGGATACTCTTTCTGTTCTGTTAAACTGCTAACTTTTCATCCCTGAAAGTCTTTACAGCAGCTACATAATAAAGCAGCTCCCTGTCCACGGGATAGGTAGCAGCTCTTCATTGCAGAAACAGATAGAATAATGATCAGTTGTAGTTCAGAAACGAACATATGATTTTGCATGTAATAAACTGAGCGACAGGAACTGGGAATTTTTTAATTTTTTTTTTTTTTTTTTAGCTTTTTAAGACAGTAACCTTAAAGCGGCAGGGAAGCTAGCTTCCACCCCCCCCCCCCCTTTTCCTCCCGTTTAGAAAATATGTAAAGGGTCTAAACGGCCGTCATTAACCAAGAATGGACCTTATATTTTTCATTATTGTTTAAACAGTTCATATTATTCAATTTTTTTTTTTTTTTTTTTTTTTTTTTTTTGTTTGTTTGTTTGGTCATTCAACTTTTTATTACCATTATTATCCTCATTATTAGGCTGTTTAAAAAAGGCATAGGTCACCTACAACCGCCACCACTACTCCTTCCCACCCCCCACCCACGTTCCCCACCATCCCCTAGAAATTTCCAAAGGGGGCTGAGGCCAACTCAAATACCCCCGCCCCCCCCCCCCAATGCTTTGTTTGTATCGTCGCCCCTGTATCCCTTGCAGATACTCACATAGATGTGTATGCCCTCAACCAACTCACGCCAAGTCGTTCTATCCTTCGCTATCGCATGTAGCTCTCCCCCATGTCCTCCCCATCTTTTTAATCTTACTCTCTAGCTCCCTTCTCCGTGCTTTTTTGGTCTTCCTTTATTCAGATGCCCCTGTGGGTTCCAGTGTAAAGTCATTCTAGTTATATTGCTTTCGGGTTTTCTCAACGTGTGTCCTATTCAACGCCAGCGTCTTTTCTTCACCTCTTGATCCAGCAACTTGTTTAGTTCTCTCCTAAAGATTCACATTTTTTTTTCTATCATACCATTTAATTCCTTCTGTTCTGTGCAGGCACCAGACAATTGAATGTTTTATTTTTTTTTTTAGTAATTGTCTTAGTTGTTCTCCGTGTTTCCGCTCCATATAACAGTACTGATTTGACATTAGAATTGAAAATTTTAAGTATGAGTTTTAATTTATTTGACCTCCACAAATTTCCTGGTGCCATGAACGCTTCTCTTGCCTTTTGTATTCGTATTTTAATATCGTTATTATTTCCCCCATCGTTATCTACATTACTACCCAAATATGTAGGTGTATGACTGCTAACTACAATTGAAAATGTACTTACCGTTGAATTTAGGATTTGAGAACTGACACCTGAAATGTAAAAAATCTAGAAGATGAAAGTCATGCATGGTTTAAAAAGAAAAAACATTGTGGGTAAAGCCATAAAGACATACCAATGTGACAACTAAAGAAAAGATTGGACGAATCTTCCTTGGTTCCTGATGAAGGAGACGGAGCACATTTGAGAATATCCCGGTGGCATGATGTCGAGTCCTTTATTCATTTATTCATTCATTCAAAGAAAATGTAGAGTAGCAGAGCAATAGAAGGACGAACAGTATAACAAGAGTAATTTGGCACGTTTATGGCTTCACCAGACAATACGCATTCCCCTGCGTCACTTTTGTGCTACGAATTATGTAACCGTTTCGGCTTTCTCAGTTTAACAGGATTTAATGTTTAACACTCCTTTCTATTGAGGGTTATTGATTTTCCATTCTCACTCTCTCTCTCTCTCTCTCTCTCTCTCTCTCTCTCTCTCTCTCTCTCTCTCTCTCTCTCTCTATCCCTCTCTCTTTTTTTTTTTTTTTCTCTCTTTCTTTCTCTCCTTCATTTTCTCTCTCAGTGTGTGTTATGTAACGTATAAATGGTGACCTTTATTTTACGCATTACCTCTATTATTTCTCATACTTCCTTATTTATTTCACTCTTTCCTGCCTATCCTTTTTTTTCAGTTGCATTATGATGGTTAGAGTAAAAATTTGTAAACGTATTTGCAAACCTTTCCTCCGGTCATATTAACTTATACGCTAGCGCGTGTGCAATCGCGAATGTCTTTAAGATAGCCAACAATTACTTTGGAGAAAATACGGTAAATATCTCTCATGTGAATTGTGGCTGTCTGACTGAGTAAGTATATCCTTCTTTGAAAACGGCTGTCTTAGAATGGGGCTATTTGTATTCAACTGGTGACATCTTCATCTCACTAAAGATAACACCCACCCACTCAAGACTACAAGTTAATTCCTACCAGTTTTGTACTGCCGCACTATAACTAAGCTGTATTCAACTGGTGACATCTTCATCCCACTAAAGATAACACCCACCCACTCGGGACTACAAGTTCATTCCTACCAGTTTTGTACTGCCGCACTATAACTAAGCTGTATTCAACTGGTGACATCTTTATCCCACTAAAGATAACACCCACCCACTCGGGACTACAAGTTCATTCCTACCAGTTTTGTACTGCCGCACTATAACTAAGCTGTATTCAACTGGTGACATCTTCATCCCACTAAAGATAACACCCACCCACTCGGGACTACAAGTTCATTCCTACCAGTTTTGTACTGCCGCACTATAACTAAGCTGTATTCAACTGGTGACATCTTCATCCCACTAAAGATAACACCCACCCACTCAAGACTACAAGTTAATTCCTACCAGTTTTGTACTGCCGCACTATAACTAAGCTGTATTCAACTGGTGACATCTTCATCCCACTAAAGATAACACCCACCCACTCGGGACTACAAGTTCATTCCTACCAGTTTTGTACTGCCGCACTATAACTAAGCTGTATTCAACTGGTGACATCTTCATCCCACTAAAGATAACACCCACCCACTCAAGACTACAAGTTAATTCCTACCAGTTTTGTACTGCCGCACTATAACTAAGCTGTATTCAACTGGTGACATCTTCATCCCACTAAAGATAACACCCACCCACTCGGGACGACAAGTTCATTCCTACCAGTTTTGTACTGCCGCACTATAACTAAGCTGTATTCAACTGGTGACATCTTCATCCCACTAAAGATAACACCCACCCACTCGGGACTACAAGTTCATTCCTACCAGTTTTGTACTGCCTCACTATAACTAAGATGTATGTACATACGGTTGAAGTGATTTCTGCGATTTGTACCTTACTGACTCTAAGCTTTTGAGATGTTAAGCCTACATATTGTAATTTCAAGACAGAAAATGAAGAAAAGATCTTCTTGGCGTTCACTGACTAATTCTGCGTGCACATATTTTTATATGTCTGGCATATTTGAGTGCAGACAGTTGATTCCTCGCCTCAAGCAAATGCACTCCGGCTTTGAAGAAAGTATTTATAATTAGTCGCCTTTTATGTTGTGCTTGTTATGGGGAGGACAGTAGGTCAATTTCCCGCCCCCCCCCCCCCCCTCCCCACCTCGGGGGCCTAAATTTTTTTTTTTTTTTTTTTTTTTTTTTTTTTTTTTAAGAAAGCCCTACAACCCATGCTGGAAAACTGGTCAAATGACATTGGCTCTATTCATTTCTTCTCTATTGAAAGAAATCAGGCTCATATACCACACCACCTTGTGTGCGTTTCATGACCTATTAGTGGGGGGGGGGGGGGGGGGGGGGGGGAGAAGGATTTATTCACTGCATGCACACTCTAAACAAAGCCTGTCGTGAGAGGTTAGCAATTAGGGATTTACGAACGCGAAAGAAAGTGAAAATGATATACTACACCAAATCATAGTTAAAAGGTAAAAGTGATTAAAAACAGGCAGAGATGACTAACTGTTTAAAAGCATTAGGCGTATCCTTTACAGGACGTTGCAAAACAAACCCCAGCACTTTCTGACTGTTGTGGTTTTCTAACCAATTTTACATCCAGTAGTTTGCCATTGCCCTGAACGGTCGGCTCTCGATACCACGGTCGAAACCATCGCAAGACAAACCGTCCGCAGCAGGGATCGAACCCGGCACCCCGACATTACGAAGCGCGTTCGCAAAGCCTAAGCTACAGAGGCTGACTCTAAAAGCATAGATTGTGGAAAAAATAAGTTTACACAAACCAGTTGAACACATTCAACTTACCGTCCACGACGATGATGATAAATAACAAGCGGAGATAGTTTATCTGCATAGCTGTAATATAGCAATAATTCTAGAAAAGAGAAACACGGAACATTAGTTTCAAATAGCTGCATTCTAATACTACACAAGACGGTTATGATTTGTAATTATTTGTAAAGCTTCTTCTTCTTCTACTATTCTTCTTCTTCTTCTTCTTCTTCTTCTTCTTCTTCTTCTTCTTCTTCTTCTTCTTCTTCTTCTTCTTCTTCTTCTTCTTCTTCTTCTTCTTCTTCTTCTTCTTCTTCTTCTTCCTTCTTCTGTTTTTTCCTTTAGTCCTGTACTGTCTTACAGCGTCGTGTTCTTCGTCTTCGTCTTCTTCTTCTTCCTTCTTCTGTTTTTTTCCTTTAGTCCTGTACTGTCTTACAGCGTCGTGTTTTGTCGAGGCATCGAGTGAGCCTTAGTCTGTGCTATGTAGATGCTGGTATCCACGCCCTCGGATATTCTATCTATCCATTGACTGCGTGTTCTACCTCTGGCTCTGCTTCTATTATGTCTAACCATTCGATCCGTTGTCTCTTGGTGTATTTTAATCCTGGTTTTGTACCAACATTTTTCCTCATATCTTTATTTCTGATTTGTGTCTCTTCTAGTTACATTTAGGATTCGCTGTAGATATTTCTTTTATGCGGTTTTGATTTGTATTTTGTTGTTGTTGTTGTTAATGTCCACGTTTGGCACTGATAACAGAATGCTGGTAAAATACTTTCTCATCTATTAAATTCTTCAAAACGTCAAAAACCAACACATATTAAATTTAGTTTGTTTACTTTGCTCAGCCAAAGACATGTCTTCAGTTGTAGCTTTAGTTTGTCAACTTCCAACTCACATTTCTTTGAGATATCTTTCTTTATGTATTTAATCATCCGAGGTATGTCGTAGATGCTTTGCGGTCAGTGATTCAGTCTCACTGATTCAGTCCTCAGAAGTAAAGTTTTCCAGCAAGGTTCTGTGATAAACTCAGTTTCATTTTTTTTTAAAAGGCACGAGATAATTACTGGAACTTTCCTGGCAAGAAAACAAGACAAGCAAAGAAACTGGTTACATAACCTTATATGCTGCATTGGTACAGTCACAGCTATGATAAGACTATTGTCTATTGCAGAGATTCTCAAATTGTTTATTTCATGGGTCCTAGAAAGTTTCAATAATTTGTGTGGCTTATTGTCATCGTTTTGTCTTTAGTACTTTCACAGCTACATTTTATCAAATTTCTTCTTTTTCTTCTTCTTCTTCTTCTTCTTCTTCTTCTTCTTCTTCTTCTTCTTCTTCTTCTTCTTCTTCTTCTTCTTCTTCTTCTTCTTCTTCTTCTTCTTCTTCTTCTTCTTCTTCTTCTTCTATATTTTTATTTTTCACCTCCTCCTCCTTCATCTTCTTCATCTACTTCATCTTCTTCTTTTCTTCCAACCAGTTACATTATCGAATTTTTCGAAATCTAAGGAAGAATATTCTGAGTACGCTTTCCAATGCGTTGTGAAAGCGGGTCTCCCTTTGTTTGACTTTGTTTTTAATACTGTCGTTCCATTATTTGTTTGATCGTATTCTTACATTTAGTTCATTCTATTTCTTAATCGTAACTCTCGATAGCATCAGATTGGCACATGATTTCACGTTTCCTTTGAATGATGTCGGCTCTGTGTCCAAGTCAATGCGAAAGCTTCGTAATGCGGAGATGCTTCGTTCGATCTCAGCTGCGGGCCACGTGCATTGCGTTGGTTTCGACAGTGGTATCAATTAAGCCGACCGTCCAGAGGCAATGGCAAACTACTTGACGTAAATTTGCCTAGAAAAACCACACAACAGCAAGGGGCTGTTGGGTTGGTTCTGCAACGTCCTGTAAAGGTTGCGCAACTTGATTGTATTTCAAGGATTAGACCTGTTTTCTAATTTCTTTTTGTTTAAAAATATCTTCCTGTTAACATGTGAACTATCCAAAGAATGTGATCTCTTTCAATATGCTTTTTAGTTCACTATTTATTAAAGAATCATCATAGCCGGTAAAATGGACATGTCCATATGTTACCAATAGTGTAGAAGAAATTTTGATATAATATCAAATTGTATAGTCAGTTCAGAATTTCTTGAACATGAATAGATTTAGACATTTTCGAAACTAACGCACTGATAATAATGAGATTTGGTATGCTCACTCCAGACATATATGACGTTGTGGAAATATGTTTTTCTTGAAATGAAGAATATTATGTAAAGTTTCTTTCTTTTTCTTCTACTTTACGATACATATTTTTGTAACGCAACCGCCTTGGTAGAGTTGTGGAAGGTTTACTTTGATTATGTTCAGTTAGTTATGTTTACACACACTATAACATTGGAAGGATGAGGCAAATCTGGAAATCCAACAGTTACTGCAGAGTAACGAAGGTCCGACTCTACAACAGCATCATTTTGCCAATTCTTCTTTATGGAGCAGAATGCTGGAGAATGACTAAAAACGATACATACAAGCTATCCACCTTCCACCACACATGTCTACATAGAATTATCAAAATTTTCTGGCCACATACAATCTCAAACACTAAACTACTTCAAGTCACAAACCAAGAAACTCTAGACAGTATGATAACCAAGAGAAGATGGAAATGGCTCGGCCACATTATGAGAATGAATCCTGATATACCTGCGGGGCGTCCAAAAACAACATGGAGACGAACGACAGAAAGTGACCTGAGTGCGGTATCTCTGACATGAAAAACTGCACTTAGGATTGCCCAGGACAGGAAAGCATGGAAGGTCCTCTCTGAAGTCTTATGTGCCACTAGGCATAAGAGAATTGGTGATAATGATGATGATGATGATGATGATGATGATGCGTTTGAATGATGATGGGGAACATGATGAATGATGATGATGACGGGTTTAACCGAGAAACAACAAAAAAAAAAAAAATAGGAAATTTCGAGAATGCATTGTGCAAAGTCGCACTTTTAGTGAAAGAAGCCGAAAAAAAGACATAGTTTAAAGTTTTAGTTAAAGGTATCATCATCACATGTCCTGCCGACTGGCATGCTTCTCCACAGATTTCGGTACTTTGTCCTCGGGACCAGTTCCACTGATGATATCCCTCCGTCCCACCGTCAACTCTCTCGATCTGCCTCTCCTTCTTTTACCATTGATCTTCCCTGTCGTCACAATATTCTCCAAAGCCACACCGCATCCCCCCCCACCCCCCCTACACAGTCTTTTCCTTATAGCTGTATATACAGATCTGCTTTCATTAGCTTCTTTCAAGCAATCCTCGTGGTTACTCTGGCAGTCCAAGGGATTCTTAACATTCGTCTGAGGAACACATCTTAGTTAAAGGCGTATCTAACAATTAATGTTCAGTTATTGTGTCATATAACTGGCTTATCAAAACTGACATAAACATCAGTTTCACAATGAGTTTGAGTTGCACATTTTCAACCGTGCATAAGGTTACCGTTCTACTGTACCAACACTTTCTAAGGTAATCTAAAAGGGTCTGTTTATATTGTGATATCCCCGCGTGGATTCCGGGTCCCATTGTGGGGGGAAAAGCGAGAACTGACCCACTGCCCCCCAAAACAAGCATTTCTTAGGAGTCGACTAATTGGAGGCTTCCTTTGAAGTCGGAGTGCATCTGCCCGAGCGGCAAGGAACAACTAAGTGCACACACATAATCCACTTAAAAGGATGTATACGCCAAATGGATGAACAACCAGGTCTTCTCGCTAGAGCTTACTGCCAGTGAACAAACAAACGAACAAACAAAAAGAAAAGAAGAAGATATTGTGATATTCCTGACTCAGATAAACAAACAAAATGGCACTTGGTCTGGATAGAGCATCATTTAACCATTGGATTAGATCTGACACAGAGTACACTCATGTCAAGAAAGGAAGGAAAAGGAAAGCTAACGAGTGTTTGACGTGAGATCTTGAAAATGTAAACGACAATTAAACGTTTTACTCTACGAAAACTGAAATTTATAATGAAATCACAACACATTGTTTCAATTTTTAAATAACTGTTGATAATTGTAAGGGTCACCGGGTTCACTTTCATGAAAACTGTAGGTGGGAAGGAATTTTATTTGTGAAAAGCCGCATTTTATTGCTGGTCGAAAGAAATACCTTAGGCAGATCAATGAGCGACACAGGCAAGGTTTGATATTGTACACATGAATTAATCCTAGGTCAGTGTTCACCTTAACTGATCTAAAGAACTGCAAATCAGTAAATGGTGAAAAGAAAAGAAAAACTCCAATAAGTGAAGGTCAACGCATTATTCTCATTCAAACAGGAAGCAGTGGGGGAAAAGAAATTTTTATGTTACGCTAGACTTATTTTTTAATCATTGGGTACCGATGTAAAAGACTACAGCACAGAAATAAACAGACAAATTTTCAGGAACTGAATGAATAATAATCTTCTTCTAATTCTGAATGGACCACCATGCCTAGTAATGGATGTGCTTGCTATCGTAAAGTCGTATCTGAGGAAGACAAAGTATTAACTACATCTCATTCAAACCAAAAAAAAAAATATATAGTTTTTACTTTTTGGACAAATTAGGACATGACTTGCTAAGGAAAAGGTCAAATTTAACGACAGATATTTATAAGCTGAGTTTTTTCAGCTTGTGCAGTTGAGACAAATGTGTATCGCACGGACAAAATAATTCGTCAGTACGGCGAAACTTTCCTGCGACTCCCAAATCATTCACACTTCAACTCCATAGAGCTTGCCTTGAATAAAGTTAGGAGTCAGAGCAAAAGTTGCCGAAAAGAACAGTATATTTAAAATGTGTGATGTTGAAGTCCTGATCCCCGTATGCATTCCAAGGCCTTATTTTAGGGAAATCAAGAAAAGACCCACTGCCTATCTAAAAGCATGTTGTAAGAGTCGACTAACTGGGAGCTTCATTCTAAGTCGGAGTGCATCTGCCTGAGAGGCAAGGAACCAACATTCTGCAAACAAATGAGTCAGATCTGTCAAACCGATGCACAGGCAACACTCAGGTTCTAGAATAGGA